GCAATTTTTGGTGTCGAGCAGAAAAGGAACTGGTAATGCATGAATTTCTGGCAACATATCCAGTATGTATTTGTTGCTGACACGATACGGAATCTGAAAGGACAAACTTTCACCTTTTGTTGCCCAACTGTATATGCACTATTTTATGAGGTTCCTTTTAAGAGCAATTACAGACATTTAACAGAGAATTGGATGATATCCTTTTCTTGCATCATATTGGAATGACACTGTTTCGTTACTGTTTAGTCCCGGCCATGCAATTGTCCTATCACTTTTAATAATATTATGGTGTATGCGCCATGTTGGTGTTGTTTTTTTGCAGGTATTTGTGAATGGCATCAAAGTGGAAGATTCTGCAGCTCTAAGCCTCAATGACAGGCTGCGCTTTGGCTACAGTATCCTAAAGCAGTGCTTGTGGCGGAGATGTGCGGCGTGATGATCATGTTGTATGATGGTGATGACGGTGATGATCATGTTGTATGATGGTGATGACCATGATTATGTATCTTACACAGTACTATTGTGTGTATATAGCACTCTGCATGGTGGCTTTGTACTATACAGTACAGCCGTCACTGATCGCTTTTTACAACTCTGTTAGTTTTGACTATTCTTGTGTACATGTGCACTACACAGACAGACTGAGTATACACTTGTAGCATCTCACCCTGAAAAAGTACCAAAAGCACTGCATGGTGGATGTTCTACAGAACAGAACAACAAGGACAATCAAGGCTTGTTTGCTGCGACTTGAAGTTTCATGCACTCGCAATCATCCGGCAACACAAAGTCGTGTACAGTAAAACCTGGTGTAAGCGACCTCTCGTTTTAGCGACCACCTGCTCTTAACGACCGTTTTTCCATGCACGAACAGTTCTACACAGACACCGTGGGACCTGGTTCTAAAGACCACCTGGCTTTAACGATCGCTTTTGCTTGCACCGTGGGGTGGTCGCTTAAACCAGGTTTTACTGTACTTTGAACTATCTGTCACTGGACTTGTGTATGCCTTGCACCCTGGTGCGTGCTACACCCGTCGCCCATGGTGTAGAGCTGCTCTGGTATCCAGTCACTGCCAGTCGATTATGCTCTGGATAGCACATCCGAGTGTCTCAGTATTAGTGACTCTGTCTTTGAATTCAAAGTTGAAATTGCTCTTTATGAGAGTGCATGTACATGGCTGTACTGTAGTAATGCGAACATGTGTGTGTCAAAGAAGCACACCGAAGCAAGCATACACACATGGCGCATGTACAGGCACTGCTCTTGTTTGACGTTGCTTCAATTTATCACTCTATGCTGAAAAGTAGTCAATGTAACTGTTAGTTGTGATGAGCAGATCATTGTTTATCTCTCCTTGACAAGCTATTGGATAACTAGGCCACACAACATACACCATCGAGTTGGCACCATCTGCTTTCAACACCGTCCAACTGCAGCTGGAGAACTTACGAGCGCCTGATCTAAACCAGTCACACGGTCACATCAATGCATCAAGCCCCGTTCCGGCAGCGTCTTCCCCGCTCAGTTCTGCTCAAAGTACTCACACTTCTCTAACCGAGACTGTGAAGAGATCGCTGTCCTCCACACCAGTACCGCCGTACGCCGCATCGGTTCTCTCGCAGGCCAGCAGTACACCAGTGCAGCTCACTTCCGCCGTACAGAGATACACTGCAGCTGAGGCGAATTCCCCGCAGCCAATGACTGACACATCGGTGTTGCTGACTGACAGGAATGAACTCAGCTCAATCCCAGTGACCAGCAGTAAAGAAAGCCATCAAAACGGTGCCTCTGCAAGTAAGTCGTCCATTGAAAAATGTCAAGGGTTCCCTCGTGTATATTCTCAATTGAACGATGGTTCACAACTGAATGCACTTTGCAACGTATGTCTTAGCCATACCTTGAATTCGGATATTAAATGTATCAGGCAGGTTTGCACATTACGACAGTGGACGCGGATAGTTTATAATTGCTCTGAATTTGATGGAATCGGAGCCATTCCTGTGTAAGAGGTATGAGTGTCTCTGCTCTGGCACCCTGTCCATGCTAACATGCCACACCGTGGACCTGCACGGCATGGGGTCGTACAGTTCATGTAGAAATTCCTGGAGCAGCAGTGCAAAACATTTTAACGTTACGGCATCGTTCGAAACTGAGTAGTCGCTTGCTCTCTGCTTGTTAACATCAACAGTTGTTTCTGTGGGCTGTTGCTTGATTTATTTCGTAGATGGTTGCAGTGCATTGTATGGCGTGCCAGATTGGTGGGGACAGGGAGAGAGCAACGTGGCAGAAATCCACAGCGTTCAACGAAAGCCGGTACATGTCGCCAGCGGTGGTGACACCTCTTCCAGCAGCCAGTCCCGTCATCGGTCTGTTCGTGGCCGGTCCAACACGATATCTGCGGACAAGGCCGAGACAAGCAAGCACTCCTCTACTCTGAAACTTCCTGCACGTGCTGGCAGTTGTCGCCGCTCAGCAACCCCTGATGCACCGGCAAAGAGAGCTAGCGGCAATGATCTTTCTTCAGCATCAATGAGGCGCACAAGCAGCCTCAGGTTGTCCAAGGAGGACAGGCCGAATCCGCAAAACCTGAAACACAAACGTGCAGAATCTACCGATGTAGAGGCGTCTAAGACTGTCAAGGTGCCATCCACTGAAAAGTCTGCAGCCAAGCGGCAAGCCAGTCCTGCACCACTCCGTGAGAACGCCACAGTAGCATTGCGGCGGGCAGCCAGCGCCAAGAAAGCGGCCGCCAGGGATGCTGAAGTTGCTGCGGCGGCTGCAGCACAAGAGCGGCGTACATCTGGAACACGAGCATCGCGCAAGTCACGGGCCACGTCGGTCCGGGCAACCTCGGATGCCAGCAGCACAGCCAGCCAGTCCTACTCACCCAAACCAGCACGCTTACCATCACCCATGGAGGACACACACAAAGCTGGTAATGGCAGCAAAGGAGTGGACTCTGCAAGCAAACAGAAGGTGCCAAGCCGCTCGGCTTCGGTCAAGGTCAGTTTTTTTGGCAATTGATTTTCACAACAATATCCAGGTATAGGTCAAGATGCAGAACAATGAGAAACGTGTTTCATTTCACGCAAAGGCATTGGATGGACTTGGTACGGACTGGATGCTCGAGGCATTCGGCATGACTCAGTATGTGTTTCCGAGGTGCCTGGCATTGCGATGGTTCTCCATAGTTTCTATGTTGGTGTGGAACATCATAGGAACATCACATGCTGTGTGTGCATTAGCTCACAAAGTATGTCCACTTCATAATGCAAACCCATTGAGTGTCCGAAGTCTTTCCATGCTACTACTGTTACTCTTTGATGAACCTTGGGCTGGTTTAACTCTTGGATTCTTTGAATATTTGGAATTCTTGGAATTTTTAGAAGGCTTGGAATTCTTGGAATTTTTGGGATTCTTAGAATTTTTGGAATACTTAGAATTCTTAGAATTTTTGGAATTCTTAGAATTTTTGGAATTCTTAGAATTTTGGAATTTTTTTAGATGGTGGCTATGTTATGTGCTCTCTGCTGATTTCTTGACCTCATTTTTTCTTTCCTTGCTTGACAGCTGCCATCCTCAAACTCTTCGTTGCCTGCCAGTTCATCACCCAGCACCAGGGTGAAGTCACAGGCAGAAAAGCGCTCTCCGCGTCACCCTCTGCGTGCCGTACCTCTACAGTCGTCTTCTTCATCTTCACTGTCCTCCTCCTCGCCATCACCAGCAACAAAGCGACACAGTGCAGAGCTGGCCCCAGCACCCGCAGCTGCAGCGGTTAAGCCACGTGCACGGTCTCCATGGAGATCGATTAGAGGTGCGAGACGTGCACTATCGTGTGTGAACATATCTGCGGCTTTCCTTCATGCATGGCTGATGCTGTTCGTTCTTTGCATAACTTCTAGCATTCTGGCTCCAGGTATTTACCGACTGTGAATCAATGCACTCATCCTTACTGTGCTGTGCCTTTGCACTATGTGACTATAATATTGTGTTCTGTTCACACCTGCAATGATCACCTTTCTATCTCTGTTTGTGATTCAGATCAAGCACGTAAGAACATCAACACTCAGGCAAGCGCCACAGCTGACTCGGCGGATATCATATTCATGACCTCGCCGGCAGCAGCAGAGCATGGTCCAGCATCAACATCACACGGCGAACAAATCGAGGATAAAGGTGCTGCTGCTGTGACCACTCAGTCAGAGTAAGTGCTAATCAACTCCACAGAACTTGGTCATGTTCGTAGACTGGACCCAATAAATACGTGCACTCTACTGGCCTGGCCTGAGATGGAGGGCAAGGGGAGGTGTGTGTGTGGGAGGGGGATTTTCGTCGATAATGTTCATTTCCGGCTCTGTATCCCATTTTCAGGGCTCACAGTCGGTATGCAGGATCGACAAAAGCGTCGTGCGAGGGCGGGTTTGGTGCACGTGACCCCCCGAGAGCGCAGATCGTGTATCCTACGCATCCCAACAGAACAAATAAAAAGAAGAGAAAGAACCTTGGCTTGAGTTGTAGCCTGTTCTTGTCTTGTAGAGCCGATGTTCGCGATATTTTGGTCGGACCTGTCCTTTCCTCGCTTCTCTTGGCATGCAGTGTCAAACCATTCTCGTTTCCGTTCGTCTCGATCTTGTGCTTTTACGATCGTGCATACTCCAGTGGAAATAGTTTGCTTTATTATTTGCACTGGGAATTGCACTGCAACACTGAACAGTTACTGCCAGCCCTCGGCAACGACTTGCCTTTCACTGTGCCTTGTAGAATTGATCCACCGAAGGAGAAGGCGAAAGGCAACCTGTGCTAGTCCCAGGAAATTCATGTCATGTAGCCGCTGTTCGACCAAATGCTGATGCTACAATGAGCGATCGCGATGTTCCACAGGTAAGAAGACAAACAAACGAGTCAGAGCTCGCCAGGCAGGTAACGCCGAGAACATACCACACGGAGCTGCTGATCGGATGGAGGCGAACGGGACCAGCAAATCCGCCAGGCGTTAGTTGAGGGCCACTAAAGGCCAGGTTTCCAGAGGTACCAGTTCCTCCATGATGGCGAAATGCGCTGCCACAAGAACTCCAGCGAGAACGAAAGCACAGCAACTAAACCAACTCCGCGGGCGAACTGAGGAGAGAACACTGAAAAATCTGTGCGCAATGATTTTCTGTTGGACGGCGCGCGTTGCTGTTCCGCTGCATGCATGCGTTTTTCTTGTTGTTTGATCTGGTGCTGCTTTTGCACTTTTGGCGTTCTGCGCGCTGAGTGGCACTCACTCAAAAATGTCCACTACATCTCATTCTTGGCGGATTTTGATCATCTATGGCTTTTTTTTTTTCAGCGTGGAATTCTCCAGACATTTACCGATCACTTTTCCGATTGCTGTGCCGAAATCGAAGCCAAAACGACCAGACTTTGGCTAATCCGTGCCGGAAAACTGGAGGGAAAATGGTGAAACGCTGCGGTAGATCACTGAGTTTGGGGGTTTTGAACCAGCACAGCGAATCCCAGCTTCGTGGACATCGGGGCCGATGTAGTGGACTAGATCAAAGATTTGAGAATAGAGGAGAATAGAGGCCTGTGATTGGTCAGTTGTCATCACGTGACATCCGCGCAAAGCCGTGCGCGACTCCACGCTTTTGTATTGGACTGTGAGCCCTGATTTTGTCCGGACCACCTGAAATTCTGGTGCTACGACATTGATTGCACCATACTTGTATGTAGTGTAGAAGTGACTACAAAGTGCATGCACCAGGATGGCAGGATGAATTGGAGCAGCTAGCTTTCTCTGAAGCACGTGCAAATAGCAAACCAGCGTTTGCACATTCTTTGCTTCTTTTCCAGATCATTGCAGAGTGATGTGCCAGACAATGATACAGCCATGCAAGGCAGTGGCAGTGATGTTTGGCAAACCGGCTCAGATCAAGACTCGTTGGCCAGCAATGCAGCCGTCGGTAGCGGTTCAGCCGGTGACCTGCAGCTATCCGTGTCTGAACTCAGCCTATCGGCAGTCAGCTCCAATACATCCGTGGAGTCCGCAAGCCTGGATCCTTCCCCTACCAGTGAAGCAATTGAGGAGCCTGCTGCATCCATTCAGGTAGCTCCAGCAGCAGCAGCAGCATCTCAGCTACCGCCTCCAAACAGAAAGCTGGCCTTTTTGACCGAGGTGGATGATGATGTTGATGGCGGGGTTTGTACAGTCTGCAGTGGCATGCCGCAGTCTACCTGCACATGTAGTGGGGGTGCTGCTAGCCAAGATCATGCACTGCTGCCAGTACAGCAACATGCCAGAAGTTCACCGCATCAGCCTGCTGGTGCTGTTTACGGACCGGCACCATGTCTGGCAGAGAACGAACTTCTAGGAGTGGATACGGTGTCCGATTTGGCTAGTGAAGACTCGTCAGCATTGGTCAGCTTGGCACCGTCACGTCGACAGTGGAACAAGATGGAGGTATGTTCTGAACAGGACGTGACGTGGCTAATTCAGCTGCGACACTAGTATTGGCAGGAATTGAGGTAGGGATACCGTGCAGAGTTTAGCACACTCACCCGACCATGCCACCATTCTAGACTGCTGTAGAAAGATCAGAAAGGCAGTTTTTGATTGGTCCAACCCTAGCCTTCCATACAGTTTGTGTATGATATGGAGGGTATAACACATGACCTCCCGGTGAACAGTAAACACATGTTGGTGGCCGAAAAGTTGGTCCGGTCATATCCTGACCAACAGGACCTGTTCCACTGAGCCTGCCAGAACACAATGATGATGTGTTGAGGGTGCATAGAAGTCCCTTGGTCAAACCTACTTCAAGTACACATATGCTAGAAAAATGCAGTGAAAAAGGAAGAAAACATAGTGTCAATTCCTTTGAGTTCTCATATCTATTCCCTTGTGGTGCCTTGCACATGTTGTGTTGGTGTCTGCTGCGTTCACCTGCAGAAAATGGATGGTCTCATTGTGTCGTCGCTGCTAGTGCTGTCCGATCGGCTGCAGGATGCATCAGTGGATATGTGTGCACATGCAAGGTGGGTAATGGAGTAATGCCTGGAGCTGGCTGGGAGTTCTAGACTACTTCACTGATGTGATAGAATGCTTAAAGTAAACTGTGAGCTAAGTTAGCACTGCAACAAGAGTGATCTCCTGTCTTGAAAGACCAGCCTTTCCAGCCATTAGGTCATTTTGGCCTACATTAGTGTGGACCGGTTTTGAAAGACCACTAGTCTACAAAGACCAGTTTTCTGCACACCGCAGGGAACAGGGTGGCTGCCAAACTCTCACTATACCATGATACTGGTCAGTGCTGTATGGTAGAACTCGCAGAGCTTCAAGTACTGATCATTCCCTGCAACAGCACAGCCTCTGTTTGAAGGTTGCAAGCTTGCAGCCCTGCACTGCTTCTTTTCTCCTATTTTAATTATTTTGGTGATAGGTCATTATTTCTCTGCCCAACATTATCGCTGTTACAATGCACAGACTGAAGTAGAGGCATGCGGCATACAACACTGCACATGCCCTCAACATCTGCCCACAGGACACATGCAAACGTGGACTTTTACGGACGGACCCTCCGTTAGTCCAGTTATCCATGAATGTACCAGTACCGGGGGTAATATACAATGTAGATCTCATGTAAGATGATGTGATCCTGTAGTGTGGAAATGATGACTGTTGCCCGCTTCCATCTATCAATATCATGATGCATATATGGATGCAAGTGAACTTCAAGTATTATGTTGTAACTCAACGTTGCATGCCTTAGCAATCATCAGACAATCTCTTTTGAATGTACTCTGCATATGATTATCCTTTACGAAGGGAGGTGAGGGATTGGCAAAGGCAGCAGGATCATGGATCAGACTCCCGAATGACGCCCATCAACGGGGACGCGCAGTCGGATCGAATAGATCAGATATTCAACGGTGTATCTCCGTTCCCCGACAGTACCCTGTATCCACCGTGGGGCGCTGAACACCAGGTTTGAGTTATACCCAAGAGTCTGCTGTGTCTGAGTCATGTGTTGCCGCGTGACGAATACTTGCCATGATAGTCATTAGTCGGATGCCTACCTGCTCAATGTTGTTATTGCAGGCTAATTGTTGATCTGTGTGTTGCAAGGCACATGCGCGATTGATTATGTGTATGGGCCGGATGACTAGCCCCATGTGTGCCGTCACATGATGGCAGATGATTATATTCCTACATAGATAACCGTCCACATAGCCATGGACATGCTGAGCCTCGGTGTCGGGTGGTGTTCGGCTGGTGGAATTTCCTGCAAATTTCTCCTTTGCGTGGAATTGATGGCTAAGCAGTCAAGTCTTATCTTGAGGATTATCTTCATAACCCTTACTGCTTTCTGAGCTGTTACCATGTGTAGCCTTGATGATCCAATGGTTGGAGGGGGAGAGAGCCTCGGAGTGTAATGTGTAGAACTCGAAGCAGCTTTAGATATCTAGAGTGGTATCATCCACCCTTGTACTGATGTGTTTGTGGCTATGTGTTTTGCACACTCCGCTCTCTTGCAGGACATGGCTACAATCATGCGCAACCTACGTCTGGCTGAGTCCCGCGTAAAAGGTAGGTGGAAGCATGAACACACCTGATGCTTGTTTGCCCCCCCCCCCCCCTGTGTTGTGTATAGCACCCTCATGATTCCCGGTTGAATACTGGACTCACCTTGAGTAGCACCCCTAGGCCCTGTGATGTAGTTTTTTCATACATCGTGTCCTGCGGCGCTTACCAGCATTCAACATTCTCTACTAGAGGCTTAGTGTCCACAAGTGATGGTCTTATATGCATGATCCTATACAGGGTCTGAGCAATAATGGGAGTTATGTATACTAGTACCTAGAGTTGGTAGACCAGCATAGTTCCTATCAAACACAATCATGCCATGTACTCTGGTATGCATGAGGGAGCTGGTGGTGGTGGTGGTGCTTGATCACTGGACATGCAGAGTGACTGTAGCCAGTCTGCTACACACACTGTATTGCATCGTTCGTCCATGCACACAACACAACCTCATGTAGCACGGTATTACATTTGTTTATGAGGAAGACACGCTTTCCGTGTAATAGAATAATAAGAGTGCTGATTCCAAGGATGGAGCCAAAGGTCTCCTATCACGTTCAAATATCAAAAATGTCTAGTATTGGAGAAAACTTGTGATTGAAAGGTCCAATGCACTTTCTGCCCCAAAAGCAGATTGGGAATCAACAGAAAAAATATATCCCACCACATATATAAAATGTGCATGGAAGCAAGAATTCGGAATAGCCGGGCAAGTAAGACAAGTTATGGGGTGGTTTGAAAATATCATCATCGTCCATAGCCATGTGGTACACAACAGACTTGCTCTTTTCTGGATTGATATGGCACTCGCACAGATCATCTGTGTACGGACCGGTGCGAGAAGTGGATTATCTGAAACTGTTCCACTGTTCCACTTTCAACGAAATAGCCGATAAATTTAACTGTAGAAATACTGTGCTAGTGAGGAATGACGTATTGATGCACTGCACCAAGACGACTGTTACTGAGAACTTCATGTACATGTAGCCAAGGTATGCACAGTCTACTTGTGTGCCTGACTGTGTCTATAAACTGTCAACGTTCGGCAGAGCTCTAACTGTCAGTGTTGCCACGAGATCATCGACACCCGCGGCCGTACTTGGCTCAGTGCCGCTCTGCTAGACGTCATCCTGAACTTCGTGTATCCTGCCCCCCTCCTGTTTCTTCTTGGCGGCCCGCAGGCCTATGACGTTGTAGGCTATGACGGCCGGTACCATCATGAACAGGCCTATAAGCGTGTACGTGGACGCACTCTTGTAGTACACCGGCTTCCACTTCAGGTGCGCGTTGGCGTCCATCTGGAACAGGTACCAGAAGATGGCGCCGAGCGGGGTGATGAGACCTTGCACTACAACCAGGTATACGGCGCCGGCCGCGTACTTGATCAGCATCAAGCTGAACAGGTTGGCCAGGCAGTAGAACACGATGAACAACCAGCAGTAGGTGACCGGCAGTGAGCAGTGCGGGTCTGGGTTGAACTGCACCGGGTCGCGCAGTGTTGCCGAGCAATTCATGCTCACGTTTGCGTAGTAGTCGTGCGGGCCTCGTGGACTACCGAACATGCAGCGCATTCCATCGCCCATGTGCTCCTGGAACTGGTGAAAGCCCTTGACGGTGCCAAAGACGGGTATAAAGTCCACCCAGAACATCACAACAAACATGATGAACGTCCACAGGTTGATCCAGAACATCAGCAGCAAAGAGTTGACGTCATGGTCTTTGCCAGCACTTCCTCCATCAGCGACAGCTTCCGCTGCTTTCTTGGCAGACTTCTTGAGGATCTTCTCCTCGACGACATTGTTAATGGCCAGTGGTATAAAGCCGATCATGAAGACACAGCTCCAGACGAAACGCACGATGGGCTTGGTGTGAACGCTACCGCTGCTGCCTTGCCCATCAATGTTGAAGATGACAGGCTCAGTGGAGATGATGAGACCCACAATGACGATCAGGCAGCAAATGAGACGCGGGTAGCTCTCCGTCTTGCGCAGGATGACGTAACTGAAGAAGACAGTGAACGGAATGATAATGGTGGAGAGCAGTGGTTGCAAGAACACTGGCGTGCGGTCTTCTGGACTGCTGAACACGATCAAGATGCCGTTCAACGTGTTGAAACTGCCCAGCAGAGCACGGTTGAAGTGACTCACAGAGCAGCCGAGAGGGAACTCCGGATTTAGTAACCGTGCTATTCCGATGAATGAGCCAAAGAAGAGGACAAACCAGAATGCCGTGAAGACGAGTAGAAAGTATACATCTCCCACCGCCTTCTGCTCGCCACAAATCAAGTGAGATTCCAGTGCGGTGGAGTACATGGGTAGTGTTACCGTCATGCCAACCTGCAGCCAACACACACACACACACACACACACACACACACACACACACACACACACACACACCATCAGAGGAGGATTGGCACTAAACGTATGGAGCCAGACACCAGTCCATTGGCCAAGTAAATTTTTCCGAGGCACGTCTGAGAATTACAACTCTAGATATGCGCAGTGAGCTACAATTGCGCAATACACTGATAATTAGTACAGTCACTTCTGATACATAGCCGTGATTTCCATTGTGCCAACGGATTGTAGTTACTTTAGCTCAAGTTCTTTGTATAAGACACATTTACCCACAGTCACCCACTATACAAGCACTAACTTTGTATCACGCATGCACATGTACAATAACAACTCGTTCTCCGACGACAGTCGTGCTCGATGACATCCAATCTCATGAATACACCAGTACCCTGCAACAGTGAATAGTTTGGTGTTTGCAGGTCCACTTGTGCTGCACAGTGCTTGCCGCAATTTGACTCATGTGTTTTAGATTTCATTGAGCGGCACTGTAGTATCCAGGATTTGTATTAGGCTGTGTCATAAGGGGGACAGATGTACAGTGCTGGCAACTGAAATCCGACCCCCGAGCGGTGGGTTCACATTCTAGCGGTCTCTGTTTCGTAGTTTTACCATCCCGTGTTGGGTCTTTGCGATGTGAGCCCACCACTCAGGGGTCGGATTTCAGTTGCCAGCATTGTACTTCGAAGTATGCGTCTTGTAAGTCTTGCCAGGACGGCTTGTCACTAGAGACTCTGGCAACTATTTTCATTGACTTATTCTGTGCCGTGCTGCACTGGTTAGCATCAAGGGCACATCTCAGAGATGATCGATGGCCGTCTGTGAACATCAGTGGTTTCCTTGTTGTCCCGGCATCTTCGAACGTCCACTGCATCATCCCTGCATAGAACCTGCTGTGTGCACCTGCTAACATGCTCTCATTTGTATCAGATTAGTACAGCCATGTACAGTGTAGATCTACGTCTTAATAACTTTCTCTTATCTCAGGGGATGTTGGGCGCCAATGGATCATTATTACTATATTAGTACAGAATGAGATGTTCTCAGTACACTAGACTAAGTGGAATGACACACAGCTATGATGATGGCAGCATGATCCAGTCCTGCCTATTGCTAACCTAGACCCCTGGGTCTGTCTACTCTAAGGCAGAAACTACAGTGGTGCCACGATGTAAAATCCAACACGTGGAAGCTTGTGAAGCTGAGATCCCGCCTATCATCTGGTACCACTGTGTATTGTAGCCGTTCTCTCTATTACTGTATAAGTAAAATAGTTCGCTAACCACCTTGAATCGCGCTACTGGTGTAATTCCACTCAAGACTACTGTACTCTGTAGTGTAGGTTGGATGCTTCCTGCAGCTCTGTATCCAGGCCAGAGCACATGCGTAAGATCACTGCCAGGAGTGTGCAATCCCAGTATCACTACTATCAGTAGGCTGTCTCGACACACCTTCACACTTGAAGTAGATATTGTTATTTACACACACACTAGTATCCCAGGCATGGTGATGGCCTGGTAGAAGCGAAACTTCCGAAGCTTGTTGCGGTATTTCGACATACACGTAGCCGATTTTAGCGCGGACATACGAACTTTACAATTATTTTACTACATCGTACAAGCACGTAGTACAAGTGTTAGCCAATTATTATGTTTACTTAGTAGTGTATGTGGCCGTGGATGTGGATGGGCACGCACCTGCGTTATCACTGTGAGTATTGACAGGGAAATGTTGACTGCAACTGCGCTGAGCGTGAAACTGATGCCGTGCCGTGGTGCGATTTGAAAGACGATCCTGCCGTCGGACTCTGCTGACTGAGGCGATCCGGCCGTGTTCTCCGCGCCCTGCAAACCTTGCACTTGGCCATCCGGCACGCTGCCGGATGGATGGCTGTAGTTGCGCAGCTTCTTTGGGCGTCCCGGGGTCGCCAGCAGCGGCTGCTGGGGCGAGGGATTCAGGAAGTCCGAATCGTCCATGTTTCGGGAATCGTCGCTGCTCTCGAGGGCTTGGTCAGACGCTTTATGGTGCAGTGGCAGGCTACTCTGACTACCTGCACTCATTGGAGCGGGTGGTAGTGCAATGTGTAGGCGTTGTCTGTGCAGAACCTCCTCGACTGCCTCCAACAACCGCCAGTAACTGACCGGGCAGCTGGTTGCGAACGGGTCCGAGAGGCAACCAAACTCTGGTGTTTTCCTGCTGCTGCTGCTGTGTTCGTGTCAGTGAGTGAGAGATGCCTCTGCTTCGACCTTCTATCCAGCTAGCTAGCTACCAGCGGATCAGCGTGGCTGGTGCAGTGGCGACTGTTCGTCGGTAGGCCGGTCAGGTCGGGAGATCTCGGGTACTGTGTAGGAGTGGTTGAAGGGGTGCCGCAACAGTCAGTACCAAGACAACATAGACAGGATGGCAGATGCTTGACACGTACCTGCACAGTCACATGCGATGATGGTAAGCCTGTAAGACCAGTAGGCAGTAGGGCTACTGACCACGATGCAAGTGAAGCCACTCTCCAGCATGCAGTGTGCTGACGACTAGCGTTACGTCTGCGACGTGCTGACCTTCCTCTACTGACACTGACAGAGAACGTTGAGGGCTTTGCTACGCGGTCAGGTAAACATTCGAGGACGTCCTGAACACATTTGTAAACCGGCGTCACTACAACTGAAGGAAGCAATAGAAAACGTGTCGGACAAAGTAAATTATTCTGTGCCGTTAGTTCCGGAGTTCGCTAGAATGGCCTCTACTCGGAGCGATCGACCCTCTTCTCAGACCTCAATGCTCAATAGACTTCACTGAAGAATACCAAACCAGGACACTGCATACACTGCTGTAGTTTGCATTAAAACGGCGGGTTACGTTCCCTCTGACAACTAATAATCTGAATCACGACTGCAGTGCTGTTCACTTATGTTAGACAAAGTTGCGAGAGCTTCTCCTTCTGCAAACCGCTACGCACTGTGGTTTCGTTGCACTGACGCTTTGCAGCGAGTTTTCAAGCCATCATATTGTCTGCTCTCACAGTCTCACTCAGTTCGTTTTGCCATTGAATGACCCGTGGTGTATGATCACTTGGAGCATGGTACATTGCTAGACATCGCCTATCGATGCAAGCTGTGACTTTTCCGCTCACGCTTTCCACTCGTGCTGCATTGAATTTCGTGGTCATGACTTCCACAGCCTGATCACGACGGATATTTTGAGCCTAGTACTGTAGTAGCGCCTCTCACGTCTTATCCGTTTATCGATCATAGATACTGTACTAGTACATGTAGTGCATTGCCTACTGTGTACAGGTACAATCATGATGATTGTATTATCGGAGTTAGTGCAATGATTGCACTCCATCTCGAGGTTCTCGCCTGTCTACTTGTTACAGTAGTATCCACTGATCCAGCTGACATGATGATCATGTTACTCATATCACTCTACTCTAGCTACATCGAAAAATCTTTGTGACACCATGCTTCAACAAGCATGCAGTCAAGTAAACGAAAAAGAGTTAGAACACGTGCACAGTCTAGTCAGTAGAATCATTCACGTGCTCAACAGGAACGCCGACCATCACGTGGTCGTGTGCAATATCAGCTCACGTGATCATGATTCTGATCGCTTGTTGTGTTGGCATGGCTGTCGTAGAATCTACGTCTGTCGACTCTCGTTTGACTACTTCAGTCTCAGATCCGGATCGTGGTGATCTGAGACTGTGAGAGTGAGAAAGAGACGTAATATAAACGGTTACTTTTAGCAGTCCATGCGTGACCCTTTTATTTTAATCACCACCACACCCCATAGCTTTATAGAGACTTCCTGGAGAATCCATACGACCATAGCTAGCGCCAGAAACCGTCAAGTAACCATGGTAACACGGTAGTTACTTCTGAACTGCAATGACTGACTCTGTATTGTAAAATAAGAGAGACTCTATGAAGTATGTGATCATCACTGATGATAGTAAAACTCTGTGCGTCTGTTTGATTTCCCCTCACTGCAGCTGTGACGGAACTGCTCCAAACACTTCCTAAAGCCCATACTGACTCTTGAGCCCTGCAGGCTGTGGCTAACATCAACTGACTGTACTGATACTGAGTCTGTAGTACTCGTCTTTCTTAGCCATGCATGGCTTCAACGCTTGGTGCCAATGGTGGTGCAATCCGCTGCCACAGTTTTTTTTCTCTACAAAATCCACATATCTCCAGACACTGGGGTGAATAATGGAGCGTGGTCACCATGGTCACAGTCCACAGCATGTGTGATTATTCCACCCTCACAGTTTCAGAGGATGCTTTCATTGCTAAGACTTTTGGAATGTGGCCAGAGTGGGTCTCCTGAGTCTGCTCCTCCTGAACTGAAGCACTGTGTTCTCTTTACACTACAATACTATACTAGCTTGAGCTCGATGATAACCGATGTAATGATGCTCATCGTGATTTCATTCTACATGATTGTACATGTAGATACCAGATTTTAGTCATGATTGCAGTTGAGACCAGTCTAGTTAGTAGTGCTAGACCTGTACTGCTGTAGTCTTGTCCACCACCCTGTCCCATCATGCAGAGATTATTAATGTTTTCGAGGTGGGCTACGTCTCAAACTAGCTGTGCAATATCTTCAAATTTATGTCATTTATACAATGTAATACAATGAAATACTACATGTCCTAATTGAAGGCTAATTCTCTACATGTACTTGTTTGAAGTAGATGTGCACGCCATCTAGCTAAGTTATACTGACCTATACCCGCTGTACCACACCAACATTGAAATGACGTGCTATTCAGTATTCTAACCGCTCACTAGCACTGAGTCTGTGTTCCGTGGGCCTGGCTGACAGAGGTTGTGCATGTGACAGGATCATTGGTGTATTGTATGCATATATGGATGGCATAGTTTTATCCAGGACTGGGCCAAGACCGTCACTAAGACTTTTACAGAGTACATGTATGTGCATTGTATTTATGTCTTTATTTGTGACAGTGTCATGGGTGTCGTGATGTTTTCCTAATGCTCTAACTTTCTGCATGATTGCTAGTACTTGAGACTTCTGAAAGTAGCTCATGCCCCACCGTACTTGAATCGGATTTCAGGACGGGGCACTAATTACTTCTTGACTTTGGCACACAATACCGGTACATGTACAATTCAGACTCAGCGGAGGACGTTAGGTTCAACGCGTTGTAACTTTGAGTTTCATGCCTCTACAGTCATGTAGGCAATCATTGGTTGTCTGATGATTGCCTACAATACATGTACATGTACATAGCGGCATGAAACTCAGAGTTACAACCAACCTGAACGTCCTCCGCTGAGTCTGCTATGTTCTAAGCTCTGTCTCTGACATTGAGCACTCTCTCAGTCTCTGCAGCTCGGGGATCAACGGATTTGTAAGCTGATATGAGTCCTAAGTATTATTGTATAAATTCAATCGTATCGTCGATCATGTACAGTGTACTTGGATCTACGCCAACGTCTCCCGCCTGTAGGCCTACTGGCTGTAGCTGGAGTACGTCGACACTCAGCATGTCGCGACTTGGACTTATTTTAAATACTTGGACGCTTTGATCCCTGCCATACTGGAATGCTTGGTTTCCTGGCACATGACACTCGTACTCACATACATGATTGTGCTAGTAATTAGTACTAAATAATTAATTTGTTAGATTGACAGCATGAAACAAGGTGGAGGACACTGTCCTCCACCTTGTTTCATGCTGTCAATCTAACAAATTGCGTGAACTATAACAAGGTTTATCTAATACATGTACTGGTTTTTAACCAGTGTTAGGTTATTATAATAGTGATTACTACTACTAGTAGATCTACTGTGAACAGGATGTGTTTGTCACGACAGTATTGGCATACCGGTAGCAAAACTCCCTATCTATAATCCGGTATTGAAACGTAAGAATAAGATACTTGTTCTCACGTGAGAACACAGCCTAGTCAGTGGACTGATGATCATGATGATCAGCCCTTCCCGGCCTTCGCCCTACTCCGAAGTCCGAGTTGGCATTCCTAGGCTGTGCCTGTACTGCTGAGTGTAGGTCTTGGGCACAAACATAACACTAACAGTTAGTGAGTTACATACTAGAATCTCCAACGACGTGTGGCATTCATAGCCCATGAATCATGATGTAGACCGTAGTGCTGTCAGTGTCACAGCCCCTGAGCTGTGCAGAGCTAGAGGCAGAACGATGCCGCCCGTATGACGCGCTCGGACACTGCGCAAAATAATCTCGACAGCCGTTCACGATCCTTCCCACTGGGCTGGCATGGTCCGGACCAAAGCAAGAAAATCTCTTGCTTTGACGGTCACCGTGATGGTAGATCTACTGTAGCCCAGGGCCAGGCCCGAGTCGTGCGGAAATGTGGACCATTTCAAGTTCGTTGCTTGGAGGCTGCCGGAAACCAGATGAGAAAGTTCTTATTCGGGAGGCTTTATGAAGCCTTCATCAAACTAGTGGAAGGGAGCAAAGCAGCTTTGCAGGTATGGATGAGTCGACGCCTCTCCTTTCACTTTCCTCCGAGTCCCGTTTGACGGTTTCAAGCCAGTGGCGGCACGGGCAGTCACTTTCTATGAGTAGTTTTGTTGACGTTGCAGCGGAAGATCATGCTGATGAAGAGTCCCCGTCGACACTAGTACCAGCTGGCCGGAACCGGCGAGGGATCATCGCGCCGGGAAAGATCACCTTCGCACTCCATCCCAGATTGGGCATCCACTGTAAGCTGAGCGCCGTGGCGGTGAACATTGCGCTATCGGTGCTCCTAATTGTAACACAGGTGAGACACCCGTCAGCCCCCCCCCCCCTTAAAAGAGGCCAATCATAAGATCCAGGCCAGATTGACTTCCCTTTCGCTAGTACTTCAGTAGTAATACTAGCTATCAACTAGGGCTGAAACGATCGTGGATTTTCAAGTATCGATTACTCTTTAGCTTAACGATCGAGTAATCGATTATAATCGTTAGCAAATAGAGTCATAATTCTGTGCAAACATTCCTGTTTCCACAAACTATGCCTTCATAATACCAACAAATCTGCATTAGTGAAAGGGTAGCTCCGAAACATGGCAGTTTTGAAGTCAATTTAACCTCAGAACATGAACCATACCCCTGGCAACTGCATATTCTCAGCGGAAACAGATTCAAACTTCACAAAACGAGGGTTTACAGTACTTTCTTGACAAAAATTAAAAAAACGCAAAATAATCGTAATCGGTAATCTAAACGATTGCTCGATCGTTAGAGTTATCAAACGAGTACTCGATTATTCGGTATAATCGTTTCAGCCCTACTATCAACCATGACAGCTAGAGTTGTTTCCATGGTTTTATTTACTACCGACTTTCTCCTCCAAAAGTAGTAAGTCTTCTACTAGTACTAGAGCTCAAGATTGGGTAGAGTAGGGAGTAGTGCATTTGCAGGAAGCTGTTTCCAAACTTAGTTGCATGTACATCAGTATTCTCAGCCTACTATTCTGTGCTGTGTGCACTGCATGGTGGGTGGTATGCACTCGGCTGTATGGTGTGGTCTTCTTGCTCCAGGTCAGCATGACCGTGACATTGCCAATGTTCGCCACGGCACTGAAGACACGCATTGTGTGCGGTAGACCGAGGGCGGTGGGTGATTTCTACTTTCTCTTGGTGTTCAGTGCGTTCTGGATGACCACTGTGTATGGACTCATGGCTGTTCTTTTACGCGCGCTTAACCCACAGTATCCACTTGTTGGCTCCTGGCAAGTACAGAAGTATTTTGCGCTACTTGGAGCAGCTAATACTGTTAACGGTCTGTTAGTTGCGGCCAGCAGTTCAGAAGACCGCACGCCTGTGTTTCTGCAGCCGGTCCTGCAGACAGCTCTGATCCCCTTCACCGTGCTCATGAGCTATCTGCTCCTGGGCAAGCGGGAAGGATCGGCGCGTCTCATTGCCTGCTTGGCCGTGGTCGTGGGCGTCATTGTGTCCGCGGAGCCCGTCATGTTCAACATTGACGGCTTGGGACGTGGTGTCGCTGACGCACGGCCGGGTCACACATCATCGCTGGTGCACGTTGCGTGGAGCTGTGTCTATCTGCTTGGCTACTTGCCCATAGCGCTAGCAGTAGTCGTGCAGGAGAAGCTACTCAAGATGAAGGAATGGCGCAAACCGCACGCCAACGGCAGCACTGCATGGTGCAAAGCGAAACGTGTCAAAACAATACAGCTACTGTTCTGGGCCAATCTGTGGACCTGCGGTCTGTATGCAGTTATGTTCTGGGCGGATTTCATCCCTGGCTTTGGCACCGTCAGCACACTTAGCCAGTTCAAAAATCACATTGATGACGGTTTCAGGTGCATGATGGGCGTGCCCAGGGGTCCAGGAGCAATGTACAATGAGAGTGGAAACTGCCAGCAGGCTGGAGACCTACCCAATGCGGCTGAGCTCAATCCTGACCCACATTGTTCATTGCCTGCATACTACGGCTGGGTGTTCACATGCTCACTTATCGGCTGCACCATGTCCGCTCCACTGCTGATCAAATATTCCAGCGGCGCAGTGTATTTGGTGGTGGTTGAAGCTCTCGTCACACCGCTGGGTGCAATATTCTGGTTCCTATTTCAATTGGATCCCCGTGCGCGCGTACACTGGAAACCCACCTATCACCGACATGGGTCCATGTTTACACTGGCTGGCCTTCTCGTTGTCATGCTGGCCGTTGTATGCTATGAAGTGATTGGTCACAGGCAAACAAAGCAGGCGGGGACCTTGTCGCCAGTCCATACCGGCAGCACAGATCTCTAGTCCTGACCTAACACTGCTTGCTGCACACAAGCCATGGGAACTCCGGCCTCATACGCCGGTTAGCACCTTCCTCCAGTGCACAGACCAGTGCTAACACTGTAGTATGATGGCTGCATGTTGCATGGACCTTGGCTTTAGTTACAACTACTACTATAGTAACTCATGCATGAGAGCTAGGCATACAAGGACAACTGCAGAAAAGGCTGCGTGTACTGTGGTCTGTACAATGTTGTTGCTGTTGTTGTTGTTGTGTGTGTTTTTTTTTGTTTTTTTTGTTTTTAATTTCGGCCAGTCGGCTACTATCATTAATTTTCGTCTTGGGGGTTAGACAAGGGGAAGTAGCCATGTAGGGGTGTGAGCCCGCCTTTCGGCATATGTACAGTGAAACCTGTGACTAACGACCACCCCTTGGGGCCAGAGAATGCGGTCTTTAGTGGCAGGTGGTCCTTAGTTAGAGGTTCGCACCGCACAACCATAATTATAATGTGAGACTGTCCGTGCCTGGCAAAGTGGTCTGTAGTACCAGGCTGGTCGATAGTCACGGTGGTCTTTAGTTACAGGTTTTACTCCGTGTGTGTGTGTGTGGTGTGTGTGCATGTGTGTTTCATGACGTCCTGACTATCACCATGATCATCTAGTCAGGCCAGTGGTAAGTCCTTTTGTGCACCACTCCATGTACAGTGCAACACATAGCTGCGTTTCCTCAGACCAGGGAATCGTACTCCTGTCCATCGCTGAAGCGATGATAGCGAACAAGCTATGTTAGACATAGCACATTTTGCTGGAATTACACCACTAAACAGCTTGCAAGGCTGATGAATTGACCGCCACTAACCAGGACTCAGGAGCTTCATGAGTGATAATAATATTATTATTGACAGTACAAATTGTAGTACTAAGTTGAACTCGGATGGTGAGCTAATATAATTATGATGAAGAAAGGAAATGGACAAAATGTTACGAGTTATGACAAACTGTCCACCAACGTAACCAGATCTTACACAACAGAACAACAAGGACAATCAAGGCTCTTTTGCTGCTACTTTAAGTTTCATGCTCACGCAATCATCAGGCGTGAGCATTAAGCGGGATTCACAGAAGCTTTTTTGCGATGCGACACGCGATGCGACGCGATCTGCGATGGATGCGTGCGATGCGAACTCGCGAAATACCATTCACAGAAGAAGTCAGCGATGCGACAAAGTTTTGCTGATTTGGGTACGTCACCATGATATTCGCGCGGTTTGACACAACTTGTAAAAATTTATAGGCAACTCTTGCACCTTTGTACAACTTTGCTGTAGAAAAGGTCAAAATCGTACACCAAATCGCTTGTCGCATCGCATCGCATCGCAAAAGTTGAGCCAAGCTCAACTTCTGCGATGGCCTGCGATGGCCCTGTTGCGGCAGTTGCGTGGGGTCCGCGATGGTTGCGATTTGGGGATTTCCCGGTTTCGCGGCTGTCGCATCGCGTGTCGCATCGCAAAAAAGCTTCTGTGAATCCCGCTTAAAACTCAGTTAAAGTAGCAGCAAACAAGCCTTGATTGTCCTTGTTGTTCCGTTGTGTATTACGCTCTGCCTTTGTGGTGTTGAGCACTGTCAGCACTCTGGGTACATCCTTCGGTAACCAGATCTTATAATTATCGCACAAAACTGACAAGGAGTACTGAGACATTCGGCGACCGGACGCCTAGCTCCAAACACTTCTCAAGTTGGAAGGTTGTTGGTTTGCGCCCTGGAGAAGTGTTGGAGCTAGGTGTCAGGTCGCGGAATGTCTCAGTACTCCTTGTCAGTTTTGTGCCATTTTGTCGCACTCTCTGACGGTATAAGATCTGGTTACGTTGGTGGACAGTTTGTCATAACTCGTAACATTTTGTCCTTTTCCTTCCTTCATTATCATGATTATTGTAGTACATGTACGGTACTACTAGTACTATTGGTCACAGTCTAGATTATGATAGTCGGAGACTGTTGTGGACCGTCGTAGACATGGCGAAAGCCTCGGAAACTTACTTGGCAGCCAGGGCCACTCCGCACCATGACCATGATGAACATGGGATATGGACATGCATGGCACGGAGCTGGCACAGACTCAGTGAGTGCGTTCGATTATACACTTGAATCGATTCATGAATCCATTCGCATGCATTCAAGTCGTTCGATTTCATGTCATGAGCCCTGGAATCGATTCGGAATCCATTCACTCTATTCACATGGGGTGATGTGAATAGCGCGAATCGATTCAAGAATCGATTCGTGAATCGATTCGCGTGCATAATCGAACGCACTCAGTGCCAGTGGGAGTAGTGGGCTTTCACGACTCCCTGCTCTGCACCATTGCCATTGGCAATGTATGCCACCATGGCACAGTGCCAGTAGGCAATACAATAGCTGTACAGCTGTACAGAGACTGACACTCCCACAGATCCGTTTTCGACCCGATCTGACGATCCGTGTGACTGTCTGTCCTTGGTGTCCGTGTAGATCTACCACAAGTAGATCTACCAGTCCACGGATGGTCTAGATCCGTCCGACAAACCACACTTCTGAAGTAAGTAGTTACGGTACTACAGTTGAAAACTGCACAAGATCTGCACCGCGCGTGTGCTTGCACTCCGATGCCTCACACTTGTTCCCGCTCGAGGAGCTGGCGCGAGTGAACCAGGGTGAACTGAGCCTCAGAGTCAGAGGTGTAGATCTACTACTAGTAGATCTTCTACCAGCATTTTTCGTTTCACTTGACGTTGGGTAGATCTATGAGTCGCACTCTGCTCCTCCGGGCGAATTTTCTTCGTGGTAGAAGGTGGACGGAAACGGGGAAAAGAAACAGCACTGGGATATGCAAGTGATGAAGCTAAAGATGAGCACAATGTCCTCCGCCCCACACTAGGCTACAGTAGAGACAATCCAGACACCATACATCGGTTATCGCGGCAAGTGCTCGTTGTCACGGTGCGACAGGAACGAAACTGGACGACACGATGCATGGAGAAAAGACGTTCTATCTCACCGTTTGGGATTGTCATAGCGACTCTCCTTCGCCAGACTCCGACTCCGAGGCATGGACATCATGGCATCAGGTCACCTCCCCGACTGATAATGTGACTGAGCGTGAGAGCTGGCAGGGCAGCAGCGCAGCAGCACGGGCCCGGGCAGCAGTCTCTGAGCCTGGGCCCGAGTCGCAAGTATTAGTTGCGTTACGCAAGCTTTCGGCCATTGGCCAAGAGCGGCAGGATGATGAGCGCAGGGCGTACCGGAGGCTCCTGGCGGAAGGGTCAACTACGTGTCTGCTGTATGAACCGGATAGGCTGCTCTGCGGCCCGGGATCGGGAGACGATGCGTCAGGACAAGTGGAACACAGATACTGGAAATCAGGTGAGTTCAATATGACTTGTGTTGAGTTTCTAAAACGGGCCAGGTCTGCCAGCACTCACGATTAGGACAACGAAGTTAGTTGCTTGGGAAGGCATTGGTGTTGTGGGAAACGACGAGGGAGAGAGACGGAAAAGTGAGGGCCAAACGTCATGATGATCACACCGAGGAAATATTATTCTACTTCAAGAAGTAAATAGAGTGAAACAGCTGTCTAAGACGACCGCTCAAGGTACATGTACCTTTAAAATGTGGCCTCTGATACCAGGTGGTCGCCGTGTCCAGGGTCATGTGACTGGAAATAGCATCCCTTGGTCCTGGTTGCGGTGGTCTTCTAGGACAGGTGGTCGCCTTATCCGAGTGGTCGCCTTGACAGGTTTTACTCTAACCGTTGAAGAGCGCTAGCCCTGACCCCGGCCTTCGCTAGGCTTGTCGTCATCATGATCAGACGGTAGTATTTTGCTAGCCTAGCTGAGGCTGGTGCTCAGGTACCAGTATGTGAGTCACGTGTCATGCCGGGTGAATGTTTGCATACGCCTGACGCGCCGCACCTGACCGTACCTGTCCCGTACTGTATACCGTACCTACTATTTCATTGCTTTCTGTTTGCAGGAGGGCCACTGGTCTGTGCTGGCTGCATGGCTACATCCGGGATGGATGAGAGTCTCAATCTCGAATTCTTCCGATGCTTAGTTTGCCAGCGAAGTCCGAATGTAGATTTGTGTTATCAGTGCATGCATTCGGAATACCAATTTCAATGGACTCCTCAGTTGAGTGACTCTCAAGCATTTGGACAAACCCTAATGTATCACACCAAAGACCATGCTATGCAGCCTCTCTACACTATTCGACAAATGCGTAAGTTGCTGTGTGTGTGTGTGTGTGTGTGTGTGTGTGTGTGTGTGTGTGTGTGTTTGTGTGCGCGTGTGCGTGTGTGTGTGTGTGTCTGCGTGTGTGTCTGCGTAGTATAGTATGAGCGCATTTGTATGCTGCTTCCTTGTCTACTGATCTCCCCGTGACTTGATCAAGACCGTGTGTTCTTGGCAAGCTGAGCACTTTCTTCAATCCCCTTGTGCATTGTCCTGTCTGGTAACCCAACATAATCCTCTTGACAGACCATATCAAAAAACGCCACATTACAATTATGCAGAAGATCTTCAGATTGCCCAACTTTGCTATACAAACCAATGTACAGGATAAATGCGCTGGTACAAATGAAAGCAACTGGCCAAGAATACGTCCATGGAGAAATGGAGGTGGATGGGGGTCAAATTTGACTCGCAAACTGACATAGTCACATTCGACTACCAGCTGACATACGCAATGCACCTTCAAGCAATTAATTCCAGAGCACAGCAACGATTTGGCTTTCTCGAGAGTGCCTCTGCTATTCTGGAGCCTCCTGGTGGGCTTCAAGCTTACGCTGGGTTTGTTCTCCGACCCGTGCTTGAGTACCTTGCCCTGGTCTGCCGGTTTGATGCAGCAGCACCGTCATTGTACTTGGCCAAGCTCAACTGAATCGTGCAGCAATCTGCTATCCACACCATTGGGGTGCATTCATGCCTCTCCCAGTCTTTTTGCAATCTCTCCACCAGCTTCAAAATAATATCAACACTAAAGTTTGCCAGCATGCACTCAAAACAGCTGTCTTCGGGCGTTCCTTGCCAGCACCGTGGATGCATGGAAATCACTGCCTTATCCCATCCTGCACAAGCCTCCCACCTACAGGGCATGCACATACAGAATCCATCCCTGCAAAGATTCGCTCTACGCTCTGACCTGCTCAGCCCCCCCCCCCCCACGACGCACTTCCGTAACCGAATCAACCTGCATTAGCCCCTTCACTCTGCTTGTACCCAGCAAGACCAAAATCGCCTTTTGCTATTTCCATTTTCCTTCTGACTCTCTAACACACTCTCTCAACCCCTCTCTCTTTCTCTCCATATTTTTCTCTGTCTGTCTCTCCCCCCCCCTCTCTCTCTCCTCCCTCTCTCTCTCTATCTCTCTCTCTCTCTCTCTCTCTCTCTCTCTCTCTCTCTCTCTCTCTCTCTCTCTCTCTCTATCTATCTATCTATCTCTCTCTCTCACACACACTCTATACATGGTGCGTCTGGTTGGCTAGGAAGTGAGACCCCGGGTCGGTGGAGCAGAAAAATGAAAAAAATGCGCAGCTTTGCTTGCTATACCGGGTGCAAGTGAGGAAAAGTGGGAGCTTGTGTATTGTGATATCCTCTGCTATCCTCTGCTATCCTTCCAGACATCTTGTCTGGATTGTGCATGGTGATACCGCTCTTCTTTTTAAAGATATCGGCAGTGAGTAATTTTGTTGAAATTGGAAACAATCATATTATGTTTTCTCTATTTCTGTGATTCTAGTCGGCTTCTACCCGCAAAATGAAGGAAAATGGAGACAACGAGCAGATGGTCACAGATACGATTTTGAACTTCTGATGGAGCGAGGTGAAGAGCTGCATGCATGCCCAGTCTGCAGCCGTTTGGGTACGCCGAAAATCCGTGGTGACTATGCTTTGGTTGAACACCTGTTGTTCTGCCACTCGGGCCAATTTGATAATGAGGTGAGCAGCTTCTGTCATATATACGCCATGTCCAATGACAGCTGGCTGTTTCGGCCATCTAGGCCTCACGAAAAGTAGCGGGCGATGCATAATGCAGCGGCACTTAAGCAGCCCACCGAGAGTGCTCAACAAGGCCAATACTGCCGAGCGAAATACCCAATGCTGTACATTATATGTCGTACTGATGAGGCCTACAAGTATATGGCCGAAACAGCTTGCTGTCTACAGCATTGGGCAATCTCTGTAGCATAATTGTAGTTGATGCAGATGGACGGTAGGGAGTGGCGGCACCTTGTGTACAGCTGGCCTGTAGTTGTGCAGCTGGAGACCTACTTGAATCCAGCCTGCAAGCGGCACAATGTCACTAAGATGATTGTAATCCAGGAATGTGTCTGTGACTGCAACCCATTTGACCTGCCCACAAGTACGCTTTCCAACGGCCGTAAGAGAGTTGGAAAGCATTGTGTCCTTGTGCGTGGCCATGGCAATCATGGTGGTCCGGTTCGAGTCTGAGCAAAGCAGACGCAGGCCAACGGGGTTCCTCACATTGCAGTGGCCTGCTTTCCTGATGGGAATTCGCTCTCAGTGACAGCAAGGGGCCGGGTAATGTCGGGGTCAGTTGAAGGTGTAGGGGTATGTTGCAAGTGTCGCAGTTGTGTGAAGCCTGCTGGACGTTTGTTTTAGGGTATAGCTGGTGTGGTTGTTTGTCCGAGCACTTGTTGTATCATAGTGCAAGATATGTATTTAGCAAGAAGTATGTGTGGTAGTCAAGATAGGTGCGTTAAGCACAGTTTTATAAAGAAGAAAAATGAGAGAAAAGAGACAGGTCACGGTACTCAGAGTATGGTAATAACTTAGTAAGTACATTGAAGGCCATTGCCAGCCACTGGCTATGCTACTCGGTGCAGTGCTGTGGTGTGCTGAATGGGTGGAGCAGAAAGACTTTTTGTTTCATGTAGCACTCGGCTTGACTCACAGTGAAGTGTTTTCCTGCTAGCCGCTTACCAGCTGGCATGATAAGACTGTGGCCTAATCCTAACTAACTCGGCGTATCACCAGCACAGAGAGTGACCTGATGACTTAAAACACATTGTGTGATGAGCATGTTGTGGTGCTAGTGTTGCTCGTTGTGATGACACTCCTTTATCGATATTTTGTAGCTGTGTGGGTGAGTAGATAGCAGTTTACGCAGCATCACAGTCAACAGTCCATTTATCAGTCTTCATGTTCGTCATTTTTCAATTGGTTCAGTTTACAAATTGTCTTGGCTCTTGGTTCTTAGTTCTTGTCTATGTAATGATGAAAAGACAGTAAATCAATGGCCTGCTTTGTGTTCCTGCGTCCTGGGAACAGCTTGGCCATCACTCTGTTACAGTACATGTACTGAGTACAGTGTACACAGTGTACAGTGTTCTGCATGTTCAGTGTACGCAGTGTACTGCATGTACTTATTAACACACCTACCCAGGAAAAGTAACCACTGTACATATGTATACACAGGTGAGTTCTGAGTAGGATTCTGAGATCTGAGCAATTCAAAGGTTCGGGCAGCTGTTGCCGCAAACTGACCAGACGGAAAAGATGGTGCGTTAGTGCTGTGTTGATGTTGTCGTTGCCGTTGCCATTGTTGTTGTCGTCGTCGTTGTTGTTGTTGTTGTTGTTGTTGCTGCTGTCGCATTGCTGTTGCTGTCATGGTCGTCATCGCTGTCGTCGCCGTTGTCGTTGCTATGCAGGTATTGTGCCCATTTTGTGTGTCAGTAAACCACACACCAAGCGAGCCGATGCAGGACTGTGACCAACTGCTGGAGCATATGCACCTGTGTCATGGCGTCAAGGTTCCTCTGCATATAGTACCACCCCATGCCCAAAGAAACCACCAGATGGTTTCCAGAACTTCTATGAATGGCTCGAATGACATTACATCTGACGTAAGTAGTCTGCAGAGTTTTTTAAATGATTTTTTTAGATCAACGGCACGAGGGCATGCCACTGTCAGGCCTTCAGTTTTGGAGACTGACAACTATGTTATGTATTACAAGTCAGCCTTGTTTTTTAAGTAGGCACTTCCAACTTCTATGGAAACGCACTTGCAAATCCAGTAGTCAGTAGTGCTGAGGTTTGAAGCAGTCGAAGGGGCCATCCGGCGGCTTTATCGATAATTTTCACGGAACGAAAAAGTCTAGTTCATGACCCTCCCACACCCACCCTCCCCCTTCAACGAAAAATCTAGACTTCACAGCTAGAATGGGTTGATGTTTCAGCTATCTTTAACTTTCAAAGCGAAACTCTTCTCCGCTCACTCGCCCATAAACGAGACTTTTCTGGCAAGTGTCCACTGAGTCACAGACACACTGGCACATACGTGTACATGACATTGTATTGAACATGTTCTGGTCTACTTAACGTAACGTGCAACCTCACTGCTCCGCATCATCTATTGCTAAATGGTGCTCCGATCATGGGGTCGACATAGTGCAATGCGTCGTCTATGCATCAGCCTGCTTCAGGACTGCATATGCACGCGTGACTGTGGAGGCAGCCGACGAGGAGAAAGTAGCCAATAAGGCATTCTGGCCTGACATGCTTTCCCACACCATCCGACCCTGGCGCTTCAAAAGTGACAGCTTTGGCACAAGCACAAACGATGTCGCAACAGCTAGCGAATGATGGCCAATTCCCACCTAAATCCACTGGCTCGGCCCTACTACCCGCGCTGCCAGGAAAAGCTAAACTTGTTCTCCATTAACTGCCGCTTCGTTCTCAACAAATCCGCAGAATTGTCGGCTATTGCCGAGATCCACAGACCTGACATTATCTGCCTCAGTGAAACCTGGTTAGCTCCAAGTGTCGCTCTTAGTATCTCTGGATACACCACCTTTCGGCGTGATCGACCTCCTAACGAAAACAAGTCTGGTACCGCCTCCAGGGGATATGGTGGAGTCGCTATTCTCGTTCGTGATCATCGTTTCAGTTGTACCCAACTTCGCAACGACCTCAGTCGCCCTACCTGTGAAACAGTGTGGGTGGAGCTTAAACCTTGTTCCGGCTCCCCAAAGCCTATTATTGTCTGTAGTGCCTATCGCCCACCCTCTGCCAAAAGCACAGAGATAAATCACTTCTGTAACATGCTCACCGATGCCCTGGTCACTATCCCCATGTCCTCGTACCACGTCATACTGACTGGAGACTTCAACTGTAAGCACCAGCACTGGTGCCCAACTGACTCAACGTCCCCCGCGGGAGCTGCGCTCTACCGCCACCTCACCTGCTTCGGACTAGAGCAGCTTGTGAATACCCCAACGCACACAACACCTGCAGGGACCCAGTCGTGCTTAGACCTTCTCTTCGTCAACAACCCCCAGCTTGCAACGGATATTAACACGACTTGCGCTCTTGGATCCTCGGATCATCTGACCGTGTCATGTCGGTTCGAGCTATCACCATCGCCTGGCCAACATCTGCAGCAAGCACCACGCAAACATTTCCCTTACCGCTATCGTCATGTCCCCTCTCACTGCTGGGACTCTCTTAATTCCGATCTCTCTCATTGTGACTGGTCATTTCTACGCCCAGGCAATTCCCCAACTGTTGACGACGCAGTCGATCGATTTTCAATCGTCCTGGAACAAACCTTCCAGCACCACCTCACTGATTTTTCCACCCATTCTTGTCGGTCAAACACACGCACATCGTCTGTGACATCCAATCCACCCTGGGTGTCGACTGTCCTCGTATCTGCGGTGAAACGTAAACGAGACCTCTTCAGTGTCAGCCGAAAATTTCCAACACCTGTCAATATGGAGGCCTACCGAGCTCAACGCAACTTTGTCAAATACCTATCCCGTAAAACCTACCGCTCTTACATCAGCTCCCTCTCTGCAACAATCTCATCACCCAATCGTCCTTCTCTCTATCAGTTCATTCGCACCCAGCGTCCCAGTGTCTCTCGCGCCCCAATCCAGTACTTGATTGATCCTGATGGCAACCGTCAGTCTGAGGCAAAGTCCATTGCGGACACTCTGAACAAACAGTTTGTCTCTCCCGGCCTTCCCGACGATCCGAACTGGGTTATCCCGCCCCTACACCCAGCTCCAGAGCTGCGGGCTCCACTTCTGGAGGTCTTTACAACAACTGGTGTGGTCCGCAAACAACTGAAACGTCTTAAGAGCTGCAAGTCTCCTGGAAAAGACGGTATTCCAAATGAAGTCCTTAAACTGCTGGTGCCTTCCTTGTCGTATCCCCTGTGCTTGCTCTTCAACTTGTCATATCGTGCAGGAGTCTTCCCATCTGCGTGGAAATCTGCTATTGTTGTCCCGATCTTTAAGAAAGGACAACGCTCCCAAGCTGTTAATTACAGGCCCATCTCCCTCCTACCAACTATATCCAAGGTCTGTGAACGCATCTTCTATGAATCTCTCTACCACCATGTCACCCCTGCCCTCTCCTCTGCACAATCCGGCTTCTGTCGTGGCGACTCAACTACTTTGCAATTGATACGCTTAATCCAGGATATTTACGGACATCGTAACCTGAAGAAGCATGTAGGTCTTGTCTTTTTTGATCTGTCAAAAGCGTTTGATACAGTCTGGCATCGAGGCCTACTTGCAAAGCTTGAGTACATTTTTCTAGTACGTGGTACAGCTCTGCAGTGGCTGTCGTCATATTTGTCGTCCCGTCATCAAACTGTCCGTGTCTCTGCTTCCTTGTCCGATCCTTTACCTGTAGTGTCTGGTGTTCCACAGGGGTCCATACTGGGTCCACTCCTTTTCCTAACTTATGTGAACGATCTGCCCTCTCTAGTTCCAGACGTCAGCCTTTTTGCTGATGACACTGCACTGTTGTGCTCTGACAGCTCGCCGTCCAACCTCGTTACCTCCATGCAGACCGGCATTAACTCCACCATAGCATGGATGGAAGCTTGGAAGCTGAGGCCCAACATCGCGAAGACCGAAGCAATGTTCATCAGCCCATCGCCGCCTACTCAGCCGTTGCACTTTCCAGGAGCCAATGCTAACGTTAAAATTGTTCATGAACACAAACACCTTGGTGTTATATTCGACAGCCATATGTCCTGGTCCCCACAGGTCCAGTCAGTATGCAAGCGAGCTAGCTCCTCCCTTGGCATGTTGCAACCTCACTGCCACCATTTAAATGACCATTGCCGAAAATTGTTCTTTACGTCGTACATTCTACCTATATTTGATTACTGTGACACAGCGTGGTGCGGTCTGTCTCAGGCCCTTGTTCAAACTCTGGAAATACACCAGCGTCTGCTTCTAAAAATCCTGTTTCGCAAAAATCAAACATTCTCCTCCCAACGTCTCTACAGTTTAGCTTCAGTATCTCCCCTCTTAGAGCGACACCAGCAACATCTTTGCATCCTTGTACACATGATCTTATTAGACCTGGCTCCAAAACACTTTGCTAAGTATAACTGGTTTGTGTCCACCAGATCAACACGTCATTCCTTCTCATTACCCCGTGCCAATACCTCCCTGTTTCTGAAATCTCCTATCTTCTCTGCGTACACTCTCTGGTCTTCCCTGCCAACTAGCCTTAAAGCATGCACAGACATTAAGGAGTTCAAGCTTCAGCTTCTTCGTCCTAAATAATCTCACCATTTTCGTCATGCCTCCCCTTGCAGTACTCTCTTTGTTTCTCTCCTTATTATTCAGTTCGCCGTGGTTGGCTACCACCCGACTTCTCATATATATTGGCAGTCTTCTGACGAGCCAGGAGATGTTGAATTAATAATAATAATAATAATAATAATAATAATAATAATAATAATAATAATAATAATAATAATAATAATAATAATAATAATAATAATAATAATAATAATAATATTGACTGGTTTGAGGGAAAGAGACAAACGGGAAAAGTCTGAAGAAAAAATTGACTGTCACCACCAGGACTCGAACCAGGGACCCTCGCTTGTAGCCAGCGATGCTCTAACCACTGAGCTATGGTGTAGTCAATAATAATAATAATAATAATAATAATAATAATAATAATAATAATAATAATAATAATAATAATAATAATAATAATAATAATAATAATAATAATAATAATAATAATAATAATAATAATAATAATAATAATAATAATAATAATAATAATAATAATAATAATAATAATAATAATAATAATAATAATAATAATAATAATAATAATAATAATAATAATAATAATAATAATAATAATAATAATAATAATAATAATAATAATAATAATAATAATAATAATAATAATAATAATAATAATAATAATAATAATAATAATAATAATAATAATAATAATAATAATAATAATAATAATAATAATAATAATAATAATAATAATAATAATAATAATAATAATAATATTGACTGGTTTGAGGGAAAGAGACAAACGGGAAAAGTCTGAAGAAAAAATTGACTGTCACCACCAGGACACGAACCAGGGACCCTCGCTTGTAGCCAGCGATGCTCTAACCACTGAGCTATGGTGTAGTCGTCATCCCAGCAGAGGCCGTTCAACATTTTCTTCAGACTTCGTAACTCACACTTCCTGTGAATCCACACAGGCGGGTGGGACGCAGCCCTCACTGTAACCCACACACTTCACGTACAAACTAGTACGCGGGGAGCCCCAAGTCATAAAATATTGACTGGTTTGAGGGAAAGAGACAAACGGGAAAAGTCTGAAGAAAAAATTGACTGTCACCACCAGGACACGAACCAGGGACCCTCGCTTGTAGCCAGCGATGCTCTAACCACTGAGCTATGGTGTAGTCGTCATCCCAGCAGAGGCCGTTCAACATTTTCTTCAGACTTCGTAACTCACACTTCCTGTGAATCCACACATAATAATAATAATAATAATAATAATAATAATAATAATAATAATAATAATAATAATAATAATAATAATAATAATAATA